TATATTTGTAAAAAAAAAAAAAAAAAAAAAAAAAAAAAAAAAAAACTACTACAAACGGTAAACGAAAGACACAGAATAAAAAAGTATGTTTTACTCAAACCGAAACGCGAGCAATAACTGCACAGTTAATTACTTTCACCGTTTCAGAAACATGTCCCTATCTTCTCTGAAATCGTATCCTTCTTTGCATACTCTGTCAAGGTCATTGTGGTGTTACATTCGAAAGCATTGTGAATAATTTTACTGGTAAAAGCTAAGCAAATGATGGCATTTTGGAAGGGCATATATATATACACCCGGGGCAGTTAACACTTTGGCTGAGCAAGGCGCATATATATATATATATCCACGGCAGTTAAGGGCTTAAAGAGCGTATGGGGTGAGCTTTGTGCCCAAATACAAGAGAATTTATTTAGAGGAACTTGAAAAAGAGTATGGGGAAATAGACATTATTTTTTTTTCACTTGTATTGATGTTTGTGAACTGCTTAAATTAATGCTGTAGGTTTTTGTAATGTGCAATAATAAATTAACTGTACTTTACATTTATTTCCAAATGTATATTTGTTTGATATTTTGTCTTGTATTTATTGTTATAAAACTTTTTTTCAAATTCATGCTTTCCAGAAAGGAATGTCTCATCCTAGGCAAATAATTCTTAGAGAGCTTAACATAATTAATTTAACCTCATTTTACAAATTTGTTTTTTATTTCATATTTACAGTAATAAAAAAATTCATGTTTTAACATGCATTCAGCAAAATAGCATACTTTGGTCCTTTCTTTTCGTATTCATGATTACATTATCTTACCTTGGTTACATTATCCAAAAGGTAATCGGAAATAGGTCTCCAAACATACAAAATTACCTTTCATACTAACCACATTAAATATAAGAAATCAGTAACAGCATATCTTTCTTATTCAGGGTTAACATCCGCAACGTGACAAGATGGTTGATCTTTACAATATGGTAACTGGTAGTTTGGTGACATTTCGGAGGCGATAAAGGTTACTACCTGGGACTTTGGTAATAATGTGAGCAGTACTCAGTTCCGATTACGCATTATTTTGTGTGGGGGAAATGAGAGATCATGGGATATGTCATGTGATATTAATGGACGAATTATGGTTCTTTAATCGGAAAAGGGGGGATAAATTTGGACAAGTATCTGTGGATGTACTATAGTATTTGCAGTATTAAGCTTCATTGTGTGTTGTGTGAAGTAGGGTTGAATAATTTTGGGATTGTATGGCACTGTCTAAAGTGAATTGTAGATTTGATAAAGAGAATTTTTTTTTTATCAAATTCTATCAAATTTGGAAAAAAAATCGTTCAGTAATTTTATTGAATCCATAATAAAAGTGTATCCAACATGTAAGGAAGATTCGGAAGAAGATTAGGTTAGTTAGACTTTGTTAAGAATGTGAGTAGTATTCAGTTCTGATTACGCATTATTTTGTGTGAGGGAAATGAGAGATCATGGGATATGTTATGTGATATTAATGGATGAATTACTGTTCTTTAATCGGGAAAAAATCTGGCAATTTTGTATTTGGCTTTATTCTGTGTTGTGTGAAATAGTGTTTGTGAATTTTTGGATCCCATGGCCGTAACTAAAGTGAATTCAAAATGGGTATTTAGTGGTATTGAAAAGGATAGTAATAAATGTTTTTTAAGGTTGTGCGAGAGAGAAATAAAGATGTTTTATTATGTTATTATTTTACCTGGTATCTTGCTTTGAAAGATAAGTATGATTTTAAAGATTCTGAAACAGAAGTAAGAAAAGTGTATCCGCCACGTAATCAAGATTCTGAAGAAGATTAGGTAAACTTAGTATTTTTAATTATTTGAGGATATTATTTTTATGCATTGTTTGTAAATGTAAGGTGGAAAGGAATTTGGTATTATTGGGAAAATTGTTATTAGCAATGATTTAGTTTAAAGTAATTAGGATTGTAAGGTAATTTTTATTAATTTAATGTATGTGTTCATTTATATTTTAAGTAGTGTTTTTGAATTTAATTATATTTTAATGAAATGATAGTTATTTTGTGAATTTTATGTTTGTAGGAATTTGGATAACGTTTAAGTTGAAATAAACGTGCATGGAAATAATTTAAATATTTGATATTAAGTATTTGTAATGCTTGAGGTATGAATTCGTTGGTGACGTGTATAATGTAACAGATGATTTAGAGGTAAAAAGTTTTTGGATATTCTATTTATTTTATATGTGGAAATGTTCATATTTGTAAAGGGTAAATACTTTTTTGCGATCAGGTAATTTCATATATGGTCTTTTTACCGGGTTTAAAGATTGAGAAAATTGTCATGTATTTTCGTGAAATTTTTGTAATTTATGAGGAAAAAGCAGTGTACATGGATATAGTGAAGAGTGTGCGCAATGCCATTTTTGTGCAATTCTGGGATGTTTTTTTAAGTAAAAATAAGTCGGCGTGTACATGGTTTATGTGTATGTGTTATTTTGAAAAATGTGTAAGGAGAATGGAATTGTGCAGTTTTTCCTAATTTTGCAGTGAATATTTGTCATGATTAAGCAGTTTTGTTTGATAAAATTTCTAGCATAAGTGTAATTCGACTAGTAGATTGTTGGAAGAAGTGTTCAGGAGATAAAAAGAAAAGAAACATGTCTTTACTTCGTGAAGATAAAATGGCGGCGGGGAAAAAAAATGGAGGGTTGCTGTAGGAGAGTTGGTCGGCAAATTTTCGCCAAAAAAATCGCCAAGTTACCATAATGTAAAGATCAATCGAACAAGATTTAGTGGAATAACAACATGTCTTCAGTTGCTAATCTCATGATACATTGCCAAAACTGTATAATGGAAGCCAGCCAGTAACACCAACAAAGCTTGCCACTGCACATGCGTGAAGCATAAACCATGCTACGGATAGATGCTACTTTCGAAAATTGCCCAAATCCAAATACATTACATTTTTGCTATCTAAATTTTTTGCTTTTGTTTTGGATTTTTAGCTTAAATTGTGTTCAAAACGTGACTTTTGCATGTGCCAAAACCGCGTTTCTCGAGACATCAGCTTCTGGTTAAGGTTTTTATGCCTTTAGTAAATCTGCATGCAACATTTTTAGAGTTATCAACTACATAAAAGTTGTTTAGGTGCGGCTAAGCCTAATTACTTTTTGCGATGGCAGCCATGTTTATTTACATTTGAAACTTGGCAGAATAATGGATTTGTTGACAATCAAGAGAAACTAAATTAACTAAATCTAGAAAACTAAAGATAACGCCTTCTTTTATTATTGCGAATTAAATCATGCTTAACCCATGCTGGAATTTATTCGAGGAAATAAGTGTTTAAGATTTACTTCGTAATTTTTAATATAGATATATTTTGAACTTTCATGTATGTTTGCCTTGTCGCTAAGTGAGGATTGAATTAATTGAATAAGAAATACTGAATCATCTATGAAAAACTGATTTTTTGTTTGGTTTGCTTAATTTCTTTTATACATCATTCTAGATTTATTATACTGTTTGAATAGAACATGTGGCAACCATTAGATAATTTTTCAAATGATATAAACTTACATGTATTTTGAGTTATAATATGAACGAAATATAACGCTGTTAAATGAACCTAGTGCCAGTGTCGCTGTTAAACAAATATAGTGAATTTTAAAGAGTGCATTTATTCTATTGTGGTTTATGCACTATCAACGAAGTAGATTTAATTCGGTACTTTTCCGTTTCGCCGGCGCAAATCTCGCCAAGCAGACTTTGTTGGCGACAACATACAGTATACACATAAAAAATGTTAATTCTAAGAATTTTTTTTTTATTTTGAAGGCATAAACATTTTAATATGGTTTAAAATTTTGTAAAAAGCCAATAAATAAAGACAATAAATTTGTAAAATGACATTAATTTAAGAATTTACTATGATTTCATGGTTCAATATCCTGATTCGCCGGTTCGTATCACGCGACCCCAAGTGATGTCATCTCACGTAAATTACGCTACTAAAATCTAATTCGCTCAGTAATTATCTACATTAATTTCAAGTTAAATCTTAATTTGGAATACAAGTTTAAATGCAAGAATTATTTCAATTCGTACGAATAGCTTACTCAGAAATTATGTAAAACCGCAGTGCTTTACTTCGCTAGTGCATTCTCATTAGAATTGATGAATTTAACACTTGATTTCGCCTTCGGATGAGCGGTGTAATTGCGTTCTAATTGACTGACTAACTAATTGAACTAACTGACTTATTACCGTGAATTGTCTTAGGGGATAAAATTTAAATATCGTGTAAAAATTCTATATTATTGTATGCCAGTATTGAAAGAAACAATCTGATAAGAAATGGCTTCAACTTGTTTTGAAACTGAGGTGTAAAAGGTTACCAACAAAGATATTCCGTCTGGCATCAGTTAAAACATTATTGGCGACTTTATCGTTTGAGACAGAGGACTGGAATGTAAAATTTCAAATTTATTAAGTTAATATATTTCAAGGTTAAAAATAAAAATCGAGAAACTATGAAAAACGAGGAGTCGTTAGCTTTTCAAAACATTAAAAAAAAAAAAAAAAAAAAAAAAAAAAAAAAAGGACAGAAACACGTGAAAATAAAACTATGCAAAGGAACATCCTTGTGTTTATCATAGATTTTAATGAAGACTTATCTCTTTTGAGGGCTAAGAGGTACACATACTTCATCAGAAGTGAAATGCGAAAAACAGGGCTTTCCCTTTGAAATAGAGTCTTGACTAAAATCTACACAAACACTGAGTTATTGCTTTGCTTAATTTTATGTCTCCCTTCAAATCATCTTAGTAACCTTCTAATGCATTTGTTAGCACATTAGGGAAGAAACAGCTCATGTATTATAGAAATACCAGTTTCTAATTTTAATAACACTTCTTAAAAGAAAACATCCTTACTACAAAAAGAAGTACCTTATTTGAAATACATGGTAATGATAACAACAAGAAAAAAAATTCTTTAAAAAATTACCTTCAGAAGGATGTTCGAAACCACAGTCAACTATGGCTCTCAGAAGCTCAGGCTTTAATAAGAAATCTCTAAATCCAGAGCTGTGTATTGATACATAACCACCAGCTGGTTTCTTGGTTTCAATTGCAGGATCTGGTGCAGTCTGATCTTGTTCATCTTCATCTTCGTAATCCAATAGTTCAGCCTCGTTTTCGGTCATCTTCTAAAATTCTGCAAAACGAAGTTCTATACCGACTGACATTTCAAGCTCTATACGTGCAATTTCTCCTTAATAATAGCATAGAAATAGGGGGAATAAAGGAATGTTATTTAGAAAAAGTAAGAACGATGACCATACCGATGGCCGCAAAATTTATTAAAATGCTACACAATTTTATATTTCGACAAAAATATTATATTGTTACATATTAAAGTCGAAATATCTTGCATTTCTTTTGCGATTTTGTACCTTTCAACGAACTGTTGCAGTTTGGAAACAACAATCGATTATGAAAAATGTTCAAATTATAATAAATACTAATTAAAAAACACACATGCAGACGTTTTAAAATTAACTTACACAGATATATAATTTACCAGGTTCTAAATTTGGAATTAAATATTACAGCTCACAAAGCAAACAAATGCTACCAAAAATGGCTAAGCGGCAAAATCCTTCAATACATAACAAATTTTAACGTAAATCACCAGTAATATATAAACACATAACTTTGGGAAAGAGAAATATGTAATTCACATTAACAAATACTAGAATTAGATTTTATAGAAAGATTTAATACATAAACGATCAATTAAGATTACCTGTTCAGGTACTCAAACGACTTTTCCGCTCTTCCAAAGCAACGAATAATGAATGTTTTGCGTTTTCAAGTTGTTTAGCCTGTTGGCTTTATCCAGAGGCTTGTCAAATTTATTTAGCATCGCTAAGTTTTCAGTCCCTCCCGTGATACGAATAGTCAATATATTATAATATATAAGTTATTTAAATAGAAATAATTTTTATGTCTCTTTTTCACTTAATGAATTAATTATAGAAAAAATCGTATTTGATAATCATTCGTCCAGTCATTTTTTCATATAATTATTTGTCCATAATTTGTCACTTGTCTGCCGGAAATTTTTTTTTTTTTTCTTTTCTCTTATCTGGTAGCATGCTTGGTTGAGCAATGGACTGCGTAAGGAAGATTTGCATAATATACATAGAAAAAATATTGGATATTGTTCGGAGAACAGCCTTAATGCCAAAAAGGGGAGAAACAGCTTATTATGCTAGATCACGTTATGTTGTCTTCCGATGACGTACTTCCTCTAGGTAGAGCTGCTATAGTAGCCTTACCTCTAGGAGGTCAGCCTGATACTTTTCGCCTGCTAAGGGATTATCCATTGTAGCAGATCGGGATACGTATTCGGAAGTAATTGTTACTTTTCTTGTTTGCTTATCAAGCAAAGAGTATTAAATTAGAAATAGCACGTAATTGAATAAAATAGTGATAATATATGTAAAAATAAGTGTCTTGCACCTGTAAATATTTATTTAATGCTTTCTGTTTTAATTTGCTTTGTCATGCTTCCCTGTACTCATCCATGTTCAAACATGGTTTATTCTAAACCATTTGTTTCATGTGCATTGATTGCAAGTAATCTATAAACATTTTCAAGTACGTTCTTTCTTGCAATATGTGCTTTCATATCGTAGTGCAATAAAATAAGTCAATGCGTGCATAACTCTGGACGACGTATTGATTAAAGAAATAAATTATAATAACTAGAGTTAAACAGCTAAAAATCGAAATAAGTGCAACTACTTAAATATGATCACTTAGCTCCAGGTTTCCTTTACGTAATAAATGGAGGTGGTCTTGAGAAACCATCCGCATTCATATTTAATTTATTACCCATAGTTACTGCATTTTAAAAATGTTTATGTCAAAAATTGGTGCATATTCTGGTGTACAGCAGGAATTAATCCTCCACTTACATACAGATCACTTAAGGAATCCGACGTGGGCCTCGCTTCTGAAGGCTCATCATATCTAAATCATCATAGAGATGAGATCAGATATGTCATGTTAAAAATGTCAGAAATCTCCAGTTCTTATTTGACTTTCTAAAATGTATATAATTAACAGCAGACAATTTGATAACGAAGTCTGTCGATCTTGCAAACTTGATTTCTTTAATGTTAACAATATTACTATTTTTATTGCCTAAATTTCGTATGCCTGGGAAAAAAAAAAAAAAAAAAAAAAAAAAAAAAAGGAATACCACGATAAAAGGGAAAAAAAAAGAGATAGGAAAATCATATGTTCGCGTAGAGTACCTAAAATTTCTAAATTATTTGCAATCTCGAGAATCTTCTTCGTCTCATTTAATCACGGTAACTGGGGATAGAGATGATACTCGAACTTACACTAATGAGACTTGAACACTCTATTTTTTGAAAGCATTCAATTATCAGCCGTTTCTTTCAAAGCTCTGCATTACAACGTAGGTGATCTGAAGATTTTTTTTCCTCTTTACTCAAAATATGACTAATGTCCGGAATATTTATCATTTTGAACAAAATTCTGTCGGCTTTTTGATTAACCTCCTCATAGTTCCATACTCATCAAACTTCTTAACAAATTCAGTCTAAGATATAATATCTGCCCACTCTTCCCACGAATCATTCACGAATTTTTCCTTTGACCTTGACATTTAATCACATCTATTATACAGAAGTTTCGAGCGCGTAAAGCTCAACTCTTGCCTTGTCTACACGCTAGGCGCGTTTTCCAGAGATCCGTGGTTCGATTCTCGGCGAGGCCGTTGCTCATTTTTCAAGTTTCTTACTTCCAATTAACCTAATCTATCTACAGTGGCTCCCGAACTAAAAGGTTGATGGATGATGATCGCCCTTTAAAAGAGGGAGTATATAAGGTATTTCTCGCGCCTTCTTAGCGTGCCTTCGTGGTGTAGTGGTCTGCACGCTCGCCGCGTATTCGAGAGGTCCGTGGTTCGATTCCCGATGAGGGCATTGCTCATTCTTCATCTCTCCTGCTTGCAAATAACCTAATGTCACTACAACATATATGTAAAAATATATATTGAGAATTTTCTGAAATAGGATTAGTTTTGAATAACTGAGCTTTCACAATGTTATAAAAATATGTTTTTCGATAAATTTGAAATGAGATTTACATAATGTTTATGTTATTTATTTTCTTAGTAAACCAAAGGATTTTAATTAATTAAAACTCCTCAATAATTTTCTACTTTTTATATTTTAGAATATTTACTATTATTTCATATTAAGCAAATTATTATCATTTAGCTTAATAACTTTCAAAACACGTTTGAAAATTATCAAACATATGTATTTCTAAAATCCTAATAAATTCTATGTTTCGTGTTACTGATGCATTATATTTCCTTTATTCTTATTTAAGTCTTTAGATGAGATCTTTTTGTATGTTGCAGGTTCTGATCTTTTAACATGATGCAGGTTTCTGATCTTAATATGAAGATCTTGGCAATAAATGCAAAATTTTCTCGTTGTATTCATGATAAGTTCATATGGAGAGAGAGTACAGTTCATAATTTCTTGCACTGCAGGAAGGGACAAACTAATATTTTATAGGTATCTATTCAAAATTTTATAATAAAATTATTTGAGGAAAGAAATAAGCTCACTACTATGTAGAGACATTAGGTTAATTGGAAGCAGGAGAGATGAAAAATGAGCATCGCCTACTCCGGAAATCGAGCCACAGACCTCTGGAATACGCGCCCAGGTTGCAGACCACTACACCACGAAGGCACGCTAAGAAGCCGAGAGAAATACCTTATATACTCCCCCTTTCAAAGTGCGACCGGGGTTTTTAGGGGACCTATTCGCCAAATCCTGGGTGTGGAGAATCATGAACCACCACCCTTTTAGTTTGGGCGCCACTATAGAGATATTAAGTATTTTTGGGAAGCAGAATGGAAAAATGAGGCACACCTTCGCCGGGAATCGAACCGAGGACCTCTGGAATACTCGCCCAGCGTGCAGACAACTGCACCACGAAGGCACGCCATGACGGCGGGAGAAATAACTTATAACTATTCTGATAAATTAAATTAAGAGCAAATAAGCATTTTTCAGGGGCGGGGAGAAGATGCAGAATGTCAGTTATCAATACTTCCTAAATTCATGTAATCCTAAAATAAGATTTTTCGGATTCAGAAATGTATGTATGCATGTATATACGGATCTATGTGTGTATATATGTACATACGTATGTATGTGTGTACACATATATGTACATACACACATGCATACATACATTTCTTAATCCAGTCCCGATAACAGAAGAGTAGCAAGTTTTCAATCTATAGCAAATAATTATAATTAAAATTGTTTTATTTCCTAGTGCAATGCAGCGCGTGACAAGTTTTAACTCCTTCACATCCAATCCGCCCCACACGGCCCTACATTGAAAGAACCAGAACCGCCCGAAAACGGCCGAGATTGTAATCTTGTTTTCTTCTCTCCACCTAAGATATGCAGTAGCAGGTGCAGTTTTCCCAAATGCATTGTATCAGTTTACTGCAGACAGCTTGTCCTAAGAAATTTCTTATCTTTTGGTTGATCGTGACATTTCGTTGTTATTCTTTTATGGTACAGTATGCTTTTAAGCTTTAAACAGCAATAAAAGAACAGTTTAAAAACTTAAGGATTATATTCATTTTTACTCCTTCCTATAATACTCCTTCCTATAAAAATAACGTAAATAAACAAAATCTCAATCCTGATCATAACAAAGCCAGAAAGGCTTGTTGGTCTGACCTTCAGAATAGTTTTATAAAGAACGGGATCAAAGGCTAATGAAATCTTTGTTAGAAAGTACAAAGGATGTCATTGGAAATCTTCACACCTATTTTCTGCGTTAATGGATGGGGAGAGGAGGAAATTGCTGTAAAACTGGAAAATTATTTCGGGCGTTTCGGTACTTTGAGGACACAAGTTAACGAAGGGTATGGATTTCAAAGAGTTAAGAGAAAGCTACGCCGAAAAATTAAAAGTACAAAAGCAAGCGCATTTAACATATAATACATTTACATAAACAACATTAATACATTGACATATAACATATAATACATTTACATAAATAACGTATAATGCATTTAACATAAAAATACAGGAGCAAGCACATTAAATATATATCTCGTAATTGTACTCTTTCGCTTTCCAGAAACCTTGAGAAATTACGAGGAGCCTGTCGTGACTCATTAAAGCTTTCAAAAGCCGGAGGAAAAAATCTCAGCTAAGTTATTTACTCAGTTGTTGTTATTCAGTGCAGCGAATTCGCGGTGAGATCGAATTAGCTTTCACTGGGCTTTGAACTGTGTTTGATTTAACGTTCTAGCAGTTTAAAATATAACTACTGTATTATATTGTGATATTGTACGAATATCTGTGTGAAAAATATTCAACATTTTATTTTGTTTCTTGTGATAAAAATAAATTTTATGAACTTTTTATTGGACTTGTGCATTCAATCTATTACTAACCCGTATGTAGGAAACACTTTTTGGTGTCCGGAGTGGGGTTTGAATGTCTATCACAAGAGTGATGGAAGAACAATTGGGACAGCTCATCTCTGCTTTTGATGCATTCTGAGAAAAGATGGTAGCTGGACAAGCATCCTTTAATCTGTTAACTGGGTATGACGAAATTTTTCGTCATGCTGGGAAAACTATTTCAATGGGTATGACGAAATGTTTCGTCATGCTGGGAAGACTATTTCAATGGGCATGACGAAATTTTTCTTACATTTTTTTGCAATCTGTCACTTGACCGTTGTTCAAGAAAAATCGATCAATGGAAACACTTGTCCGCTCATAAATTGTGACAACACTCCTAATTTTCACAACTTAATTTCATTTTAGT